TTGAAATGAACATTTAGAAAATATGTTAAAACTAAGGCATCGGGGAAATAACAGGTATCGTTAGATTACAAATGTTGTTCTGGTTATTACTGGTTTGTGGATAATGACTACTTAATGATCTTTAGGACATTAGGCATGTGACCTCTCTAGACCCATGACCTTATTTATTTAATGGGGTTAATGACAATAACCAGTTTCAGACAACTGCTAAAAGAATGAAACAAGAAGGCATGCACCGAAGAGGATTTTTAGTTATAATCTCCAGCAGTTGGGCCTGACTGGCTTAAACAGTACAGGATATGGAGAGGACATACGCTATCACAGGCTCAGTAGCAGGGCTGAACAACTCGATTTAAAGATTATATAGCCCCACAATATAGTTAAAATCCTGACATACAGCTAGTGTAAGGAGTACTGTTACATTACTTACTGCTAATTGGATGCGTCAGTTTGCATTGTCTGCACTGGGGGTTGTATTATTTTGTAACTTCACACTGGAACTATTGTTACATCTATTTTTCAGAATAGTTCTTAACCCTCTCTGGCTCTTTGTTTCACTAACTCTTCTTATTCTCAGGCAAGTGATTTTAGACCTTGTAACAGGGAACCTGGAAAAGAAAGTTTATGATATTACAGCTTTTAAATGGGCTTGTGCTATGCCACCACCAAGATTTGGAAAACTGAAAATTTCTAAAGCAAAACAGTATAAGTCAGAGTATGTCAGTCTGTCTCTGACACACCTACCCCGATTACCCTAGTCACTGAATCACTCTATCTCATCGAAGTTCTTCCTTTCTTGCACTGTCTCTCCAACCTCACAAGCATGATGTCCCTCTTTAAGGACTGGTCCCTCCTTGTAACATGTCCAAAGTATGTCAGAGGAAGCTACCTGCCTCCAAGGAGCAAGTTCGTTTCACCCACTCTAGGATGAACCTGTTTTATCTCCTGTCAATGCATGGTATATTCAGTACTCCAACACCACAGACCAAAGGCATCAATTCTCCTTCTGTCATCCCTAGTCATTGTCCAGCTTTCTGATGCATAGGAAGTAGTTACGAAGACTATGGCCTGGACCAGGCACACTTTAGTCTCCAGACTGACATCATTGCTCTTCAGTACTTTTGAGAGGTCTCTGAGAGCAGACTTTCCCAATGCATAGGAATGATTGTATGAAAAACAATATGAATGAAGAATAGTTGGAAACACAATGTACATGAACTTTGTGAGCAAACCGATATAAAATAAATAAACACCAACAAAACAATAGATCATTTTTTTAAAAGAATATTTTTTTTAGTATTTAAGGGAAAACACCTAGCATATAGTAAGTGCTAGCTCAGTAATTTTTTTTAAATAGTAATGGAGCTGTTGGTAGTGTAGTCTATAGGGAGTTACACTGCTAACTTAAAGACACACTTCTTTGGTGCCTGGATGCCTGGAATCCACCAGCCACTCTACGGAAGAAAGACTCAGGATCTAGTTATATAAAAACTACCAACAGTGATGGGAGTTATGTTGTTGTTATGTGCTGTAAAAATGCTTGCAATTCATAGTGACCTTTGTACCTGGATGCCTGGAATCCACCAGCCACTCTACGGAAGAAAGACTCAGGATCTAGTTATATAAAAACTACCAACAGTGATGGGAGTTATGCTGTTGTTATGTGCTGTAAAAATGCTTGCAATTCATAGTGACCTTTGTACAGCAGCCCTAAACCCTTCTCTATCCTTTGCCAATCTCACTTTCTCTGACACACCTACCTCAATTACCCCCGTCACGAAATCATTCCACCTCAGCGAGGATCTTCCTCTCCTGCTCTGCACCCACACCCTCCCAAGCAACGCCCTTATCCAAAGTCTGGTCCCTCCTTGCGACATGTCCAGACTATGTCAGATGAAGCTTCAGAATCCTTGCCTTCAAGGAGCAGTCCAGTTTAACCCTCTCCAAGATGAACCTATTTGTTTTCTTAGCAGTCTATGGTATATTCAATACTTTTCTCCAACACCACAGTTCAAAGGCATCAATTTTCCTTCTATCATCCCTAGTCATTGTCGAGCTCTGTGATGCATAACAAGTGATTGCAAAGACCATGGCCTGTATCAGGCACACCTCAGTCTCCAGAGTGATACCAGTGCTCTTGAGTACTTTGGAGAGGTCCCTAAAAGTAGACTTTCTTATCACAATACATCATTTAATATCCTGGCTGCTGGTGCCGAGAGTGTTGACTGTGGAACTAAGCAAACTAAAGCTGTGTACAATCTCAATCTCTTCACCATCCATTCTGATGCTGCCAACTAACTGGCCCACTGGTAAGAATCTTTGTCTTCTTGATATTGAGCCTCAATCCATATTGAAGGCTGTAGTCCTTGACCTTTTGCAACAAGCACTTCAAGTCCTCCTCAGTTTCAGCAAGCAGGGTTGTGTCATCTGCATAACACAGATTGTTGATGAATCTTCCTCCAATCCTAATACCACACTTCTCATACAGCCCAGCCTCTCGGATAATCTGTTCTGCATATAGGTTGAAAAAGTATGGAAATAGGATACATCCCTGGTGTACACCCTTCCCAGTTTTGAATCATGCAGTGTTTCCTTGCTCTGTTCTGACAGCTGCCTCTTGGGCCAAATATAGGTTTTGCATTAGCACAATCAAGTGTTCTGGGATTCCCATTCTTCTCAGAGTCAGCCACAGTTTGTTACGATCCACACAGTCAAACACCTTTGCATAATCAATGAAACACAGATAGACATTCCTCTGGTAATCCATGCTTTTAGCCAAGATCCATCTCACATTAGCTGTAATATCCCTAGTACTACAACCCGTTCTAAATCCAACCTGCACTTCTGGCAGTTCTCTGTTGATATGCTGTTCCAGTTGTTTTTGGATAATATTCAGCAGAATCTTGCTTGCATGTGATATCAATGATATTGTTCAGTAATTTCAACTTTGTTGGGTCACCTTTCTTTGGAATGGGAACAAATAAAGATCTTTTCTAGTTAGTTGGCCTAGTGGTTGTCCTCAAAATTTCTTGACACAACTTGGTGAGCACATTCAGGGCAGCATCTGTTAGTTGAAATATGTCAATTGGTATACCATCAATTCCTGGAGCCTTATTTTTTTCCATTTCCTTCAAAGCAGCTTGAACTTCTTCCTTCATCACCATAGACTCTTTATTCTCATATGTTGTTTCATGAAATTCTTGTATCTCCCAATTCCTTTCAGTACAGTGACTCTGTATACTTTTCCCATATTCTTTTAATGCTTTCTGGATCATTTAGTATTTTGCCCAAAGCATCCTTGATTATATCAACTTGAGGTTTGAATTTGTTCTTCAGTTTCTTGAGCTTAAGAAATGCTGAGCGAGTTCGGCCCTTTTGATTTCTTAACTCCAGCTCCTTGTACATTTCATTGTAATATTTTACTTTGTCTTCTCACGCTATGGGCATTATAGAAGTTAAAATGATATAATTTCTAAAAATATTCGAATGGTGCTATTGGTGGTGTTGTCTGTAGGGAGTTGCTCTGCTAACCTAAAGACCTTATTGGTGGCTGAATTCCACCAGTCATTCCCCAGGAGAAAGAAAGGCAGTCTGTTCCTGTGAGATTTACTGCCTTAGAAACACATGAAATTGTTTGGCTAGAAATTGGTTCTGATTCAGTGACAGTGAGTGAGTGAAAAAAAAACTTGCAAGAAATATGTGATGAACAGATAAATATTTAAGCCAATGTAATTTTATAGGCTTAATTTTGAGGGTGACCATCAGGTTGAAATGTTTTTATAATAATACTAAGATGTTATTTATCTTTTATCACTTTTATTTTTTAATAAGTGCAATTTCCAAATCTCTGATGACCTAGTGGTAAGAGACTGCTCTGCAATCCTGAAGGCATGCGATTCACATTCAACATCTAGTCTGTGGAGAACACTTGATTGTGCTTTTGTGAAACTTCTACTTGTTTGTGTTTTTGTGAAACTTATACTTGGACTAGAAGGCAGTCGCCAGAACAGAGCAAGTAAACACTGCTTGGTTAAAAATCAGGAAAGGTGTATGCCAGGGATGAATCCTTTCTCTATTCCTTTTCACTCTACATACAAAACAGATCATCCTTTGTGACTGAGATGTTTCATTCAGCATAATATCCTCCAGAGTCACCCATTTTGTATGATATTTCATGAGTTGTTTGTTTTTTAATACAGCATAGTATTCCATTGTGTGAATATACCAGAGCTTCTCTATCCATTCATTTGTTGATGGGCACTTGGGTTGTTTCCAGCTCTTTGCTATTGTGAACAAAGCAGCAATAAACATTGGTGTGCATGAAAAAAAAAATCACCATTTCTATAAGTGTGGTCGAACAACATGAGGTTGAAGAGAAGGGAAAGACCTTGGTTGTTCATGCAAGGCCTTGTAACTATGGACGTAAGTCTTTTAGTTGTTTGAATGGTTCAGATATATTAAAGGCTGAGACATCTGTAAAGTTTTATTTGACCAGTGAATATAAATTCACTGATGTGATTGTGATGGAGAATGAGCAGGGATATTTATGGGAAAAGTATTCAGCAGATACGTTTTAAATAACTAAGTTTATATGCTGGCCACCAGGGTTCTTCAGAGAAACAGAAGCACACACTCAGACTCTTCTATCTCACTCCACACTGATTGGTTGCTTTCAGGGAATTGTCTAACACAGTTTTGAGGACTGGCAAGTCCAAAATATACAGATTAGGTGACTGGAAACCCCAACAGAAGATCTCTTAGCTGCTTGAGGCAGAATTCCATTCTTTTTGGAAGCCTTTGTTTTGTTCTTAAGATCTTCAACTGATTAGAGGATGGTAATAGCCTTTGATTGGCTGTTGCTGATTGGAAATATTAATTAATTGAGTAAAATACCATCAAATCAGTATATTAGTATTTTACCACCTGGAAACAATAGATAAGTTTGACTATAATATCAACCATTGCAGTATATACCACATATTTCTACCTCTCTATTTCAGTTCTCTTCTTTTTAATGAAGTAAAATATATTACTACTCTGGAAGATCTTCAGAATATAGAAAATGCTGTAAAAGGAAAAGCAAATATTGTATTTGCTTATGTAAGAGCCATCGGAACACCAGGTATTTATTAACTTTAACTTTGCTCTTCACTCTGTCTCTACTGTAATATATGTTAAAATACTTAAAGTCAGGTTTTTGATAAAAATTATAATATAGTAAAACTTGCAAAAGCTGGGAAACTTATCACAGTTCTAAAAGAATAGCAAAAAAGAAGTAAGATTGTATCCTGTCAAAGGTGGAAGATTTGTGAGACCTGTAAAAATTTGGGTAGTCTTCCTCAGTTCTGGCTTTAGAGGTTTCACTATAATTGAAAAGAAATTTTAGTTTTACTGTTACCTTTCTTTAAGCAGACAGCATAGTATAGTGATTGAATTAGAATTCTGGAGCCAGACTGCCGAAGTTTGATTTGACCCTCTGCCCTATCAGTTGCTGAGATTGTGATTTTTGCTGTGCCTCAGTTGCCTAATGAATAAGATGGGAAAGATTCTTGTACTTCTGTCTTAATATTATTATAAAGTTCTGATATATTTGAAAAGTTAAAATGTTTCCTGGCAAATGTGTGGTACAAAGAAAGCAAATGTAATTAAAGAGACAGGAGAGAGAAAAAAGACCATCAATGTCAGAAGAGACTTTGAAACTTTTACTTCAGAATGTAGAGAGGACAAAACAAAGGGAAAATGCTGAATAAGAGAGAAAAACCACAGGATAGCTCAAGGGAAAAAAAAAAAGCAAAGTATTATAGCAAAATGTGCAAAGAGCTGGAGTTAGAAAAGCACTAGGAAAGAACATGCTCAGCATTCTTAAGCTGAAAAAAAAAAAGGTGAAGAACATATTCAAGCCTCGAGTGCAGTAGTAAAAGGTACCTTGGGCAGAACATCAAAATAAGGTTTAAGGAATTGAGTTACTTATTATACCAAAAAGAATTGGTTGACACAGAACAATTTCAGGAAGTAGAATATGATCAAGGACCAATAATAATAAAGGAAGAAATTCAAGTTGCACTGAAGATTGTTGTTGTTAAGTGCCATCGAGTCGTAGATGACTCATAGCTACCCTATCAACAAAAGACCTGAACACTTTGGCATAAAAGATTCCAGGAATTATGAGATACCAATTGATATATTTCAGCAAAGATATGCAATCTTGGATGTGTTCATTAATCTATGTCAGGAAATTTGGAAGATAGGTTTTTGGCTGACTGACTGGAAGAGACCAGTATTTATTTCCATTTCCAAGAAAGGTGAGAATGTGGGAAAATGTCAGTAAGACAGACCACACACAAATAAAATCTTGCAGGATATTATTTAAAAATAGCTTAAATGGGAAATAGCTGGTGTGAGAAACAATGTATATGAATTTTGTAAGTAAAGCAAGATAAAATAAAAAAAATATTTTAAAAAGTGGCTGAGACAGTACGTTGACAAGGAATCTTCAGACGTTTGAGCTGGATTCAGAGGATGTAGTGCCATGAGGGGATATGATTACTGATGTCAGTTGGATCTTGGCTGAAAGCAGAGAATACCAGATGATATTTATATACCAGAAGGGTATTTTATTTGCTATACAAAAGCTTTTGATGTGTGAATAATTAAGGTCAGTAGTGAGAAGAAGGGAATCCCAAAATACTTAATTGTTCTAACCACACAGAGACAAAAACAGTTGTCAGATAAGAACAAGGAAACACTTCACGCTTTACAATGAGGAAAGATATTCATCAAAGGTGTATCCTTTCTCCGTACATATTCATCTGTATTTTGAGCAAATAATTCTGGAATATGGACTATATTTAAAAAGTATATGGCATTAGGATCAGAAGAATACTCATCAGCAACCTGTATTATGCACATGGCACACAACCTTCTTGCACAAAGTGAAAAGGGCTTAAGGCACCTGCTGCAGAAGAACAAAGACTACTGCCTTCAATATGGTTTACATTTTAACATCAAGAAAACAAAAATCCTCACCACTGGATAAATAGGCAATATCATGATGTTGTTGTTGTTGTTGTTGTTATGTGCCGTCGAGCCGCCTGCGACTCATAGCGACCCTATGTACAACAGCCCTAAACTCCACTCTGTCCTGTGCCAGTCGCACTGTCTCTGACACTCCCATCCCAATTATCCCAGTCACTGAATCAATCCACCTCATAGAGGGCCTTCCTCTCCTGCACCGTCCCTCCACCCTCCTCTCCAAAGTGCTGAAGAGCAGTGGTGTCTCTCTGGAGACTAAGGTGCGTCTGATACAGGCCATGGTCTTCGCAATCACCTGTTATGCATCAGAGAGTTGGACAATGACCAAGGAGGATAGAAGGAGAATTGATGCCTTTGAGCTGTGGTGCTGGAGAAGAGTATTGAGAATACCATGGACTGCTAGGAAAACAAACAGATTTGTCTTGGAGAGGGTTAAACCGGGTGGCTCCTTGGAGGCAAGGATTCTGAGGCTCTAACTTAAATATCATGATAGGTAGAGAAAAAATTGAAGTTGTTAACATAATAGTTTTACTTGGATCCATGATCAAAACAGCCTTGATAGCCGCAGTAAAGAAATCAAAAGACGTTGTACTAGGGAAATCTGTTATTCAGGACCTCTCCAAAGTTCTGAAGAGCAAGGATATATATTTAAAGAGTAAAGTTTGACCGATACAAGCCTTGGCAGTTTTGGTTGCTTCCCAAGAGTCTGAGAGTTGCACAGTGAGTAAAGAAGACCAAAGAAGAATCAATGCCTAGGGAGTTCTGGTGACCTCATGTCAAGAATCTGCGCTGCAATCCTGAAGGCACATGGTTCAAATCCAGCAGATACTCCACTAGGGAAGGACAGGCAGTCTCCTTCTGTGTCATCTGGATCCAATTTGACAGTACACAGTAAGGGGGGGGGGAAGGAAGAAAAAAAATGTATCATCAATGCCTTTGAGTTGTGGTGTTGGAGGAGAGTATTGGATATCTCATGGATTGCCAAAAGAACAAACAAATCTATCTGGATGAAAGGGGAACCAGAATGCTCAATAGAGGCAAGGATGATTAAACATCTTGTCACATACTTTGAATTTGCATATGCATATGAGTAAATTCAAATTCATATGGATTCAAATTCAAATTCAAATACAATATGGATTGAGGCTCAATGTCAAGAAGACAAAGATTCTCACCACTGGACCAATTGGCAGCATCAGGATGGATGGTAAAGAGATTGAGATT